AGACAAGTGAAGCCCATCCTTTGACCAAACGTGTGTTAAACAGTTGTGGTATCTCCTTTTCTGCCCTGGGATATTCACATTTCCTATATCGTCCTATCATGCCTTCCCTGACAAAATTTTTACCCTGCTTATTTTTAATGTAGTGTGTTGTGCTCCTTCGAGCGGCATTAATGAAAACCCTTCACACCCCACACTGTCGTTATCACCCCCTTCACCCTTTTGCTAGGAATATTTACCAGAGTCTGTCATATTGTCACGTAGTCCTTCCCTGGGTCCTATTAAAGTCTCCCTCTTGTCCCGTCGAATCAATCTGCTATCTCCCTGGTACATGTATTTCACTCGACCCCTGCCCCCCCTCCATCTGTGCTATTCGAGGCGTGATTCGTTCATCCCCTGCACCTGGGTGATTTAGTAGAGGCTAAAGCCTCAGAGTAAGTCTCATGGTCATGCCTTTGCTACATGGATCAGGTCTCTTTTAAAACCTAGTGTCAGGCAACTAGATCTAATCGCGGCCTCTTGTATCCTGTGTTCCGCTATTTCGGATCTTTTCGTATCCATGTTTCTGCAGAGTCTTTGATGTTCCTTGATTTGTAGGCTGATTTTTCTTCCTGTTTCACCGATATACTTCTGCTCACAGTTGCCGCATTTGACTCGATAAACTCCCGAGCATTTAAGTTTGTCAGTCTTCTCGTGTTGCGTCGGCAGACTAGTGAAAAGTGCTTTCTTCTCCTTTGTCATCACCCTGATATTCCATTTCCTTAGTAAAAGCTCGCAATTGTTGGCTCAGTTGTGATGAGGGCAGGCAAATCCACTTTTGGTTGTCATCCTCATTCATGATCTGATTTTCATAAAATCCAAGTTGAAATCGGCCCTTTAAAATCTCTACATTTTTTTCTATAAATGTTATGGCGTATTCGTCAGTAGGGCAAATCTGTGTTAGTTTGTCCAACTCCCCGTCCCAGAAATCATTGTCCGTTAGTCGTAAACTTCTGTTGATCAAACTCCCCAGTATCCTGAGCTTCAGTCTGTAGTTATGATAGGACTGAAAATTAAGGATTATTTCCGCATAGGAATTCTTTCTGTATAGTCTCCTCATGAGTGTTCCCTTGGAGCGTCTGACTTAATATCCAAAAAGGGTAGCCGTTCATCCTCCTCCACCTCCATTTTGAATTTTATTCTTTCGTCAAGTTGGTTAACAAAATTAAGGAATTCATTTAGATTTCTCTTACCATGTGAAAAAAGTGCAAAGTAGTCATCCAAATATAGCATAAGCACTCTCGGTTGCAGTGGGGACTTCACGAATTCCCTTTCCAACTTGTCCATGCACACATTTGCCAAAAGAGCGGATATCCCATCGGTAGTCCAAATATTTGCTCGTAGATATTGCCGTTAAATGTAAAATAGGTGGCCCTTACTGTCAGGTTGATCAGTAATGTTAACGATCCTTTCTGTATCCGTTCTGCCTCCAGGATGTCCTCTTATCGCTCCAATATCTTTAGTACAGTGCTTACTGCCTCCTTACCTGAGGTGTTTGTGTACATGGATTGTGCATCGAAACTCACCAACAGTTCCGACCTAACCGACCCGATGTTCTGGATCCTTTGACAAAATTCATATGAATTCTTAACGGTATTAGAGAGTCTGTCATTTACTCTCTTGAGCTTCATACAAATGAATTTCGCTAGTCTATGCATTGTTCCATGCTTGTTGTTGACTATTAGTCTTAGCGGATCTCCTTCCTTGTGTATCCTCAGTATCCGTAGGCTGTCAGTGATCTTGCGTCATTTTTTATTAAAGATTTTATGATCCATCTGTCAATTTCCCCATTATTATGCATTTCTTTGAGCATATTCTTCAATGTACCGTTGATCTTCGTGGATGGATCTTTGCTTAGTTCCGGTCGCCAAGGGTACTTTCCATTTTCTTCGTGTATTCTTTCTTGTCCATTATAACCGTCGTCCCTCCCTTATCCGCCTGAAGAACTATTTGATCATTTTTTTGTAATTATTTTAATATACCAGCCAATTTTCTCCTGTGTATCGGTTCTTGATGTGTCAGGATTCGTAGGATTATTTCCAGTTCCATCTCCCGGCTTGTATCTTCTGAATATTTATCCGTTATTTTGACAACTTCCACCAGAATATCACTAAAAACGTTACCTTAATTACCTTGTTAAAAATGTAGACCCTTCTTTAAGAGATCTGTA